GGGAGTCTCACTTTCTAATTAATTGTTGCTGGTATGTGATATACTGTAGTTTTTACATTCCCTAATTTATTCCTATTTTACATTTTATAAGAACATAGTCATGTCAAATGATAACATTTTTATTTCTTGTTTTCCAAATTTTAATCAATTTTTTAAGGTAGGGGCCCACTATATAACCCTGGCTGTCCTGAAACTAGTTCTGTAGACCAGGCTGGCCTCAAACTCACAGAGTCTCATAAACTCGCCTGTCTCTGCCTCCCGAGCACTGGCATTAAAGGCCTGCACCACCCCTGCCCAGCTCAGTGTTTTTGAGGTAGAGTCTGTCCCGATGCCGCCTTAACACTTGACGTACTTAACACTCTAGTGAGAAACACAAAGAAAACCCACTTAGGTGCCTCACATGAACACTTCCAAACACTGCCATTAGTCACATGGGCTTCTCTCAATGTCTTCCCTGGTCTTGTTAAAGGCAGATCAGGTTTTAAATTCTTGCTTTTTAACTCTCTTGCCAGCTTGTTTATTTCCTTCTTTGTTGGATTGAATTTTCTCTTTTTCTAATCTCTTGATATTAACAGTCAGTTTATCAGTATATTTCCTATGTTCAGAAGTTTTAGCTGTCCTGTGAGCTCCTGCTGGTATCTGTACGGACAGCATCATTGACTTCAAAAGATTTCTAATTGTCGTCATGATGTCCCTTTTGATGCGCCAGTTATGTAGACACGGATCACTTTCCTTCTGGTCACTCTGGTTTGGACTCAGGACATTTTGAGTCTTGTCCTAGGTGTGCACACAGAGGGGGTGGGAATGGTCCCATTACGCTCCTGGAGTATGGCCCTTTGCTTTCTCCGATGCTGTGGGATTTGTCTGCTGCTAATATAAGCAGCCATCTTTCTTTTACATTTTCAGTCTTCCCATTCTTTTGTCTTTTCTCTTTCAGTGTCTGTATTTCCCTGTTTCTTTTCTAATGCCCTGTAGCTGGGCTCTGTTTATTTAGATTGGTTATTCTGTGTGTGGACTTGGATGTCTGCTCCCTGTTCACACTGTTGGTTCACCTGCTTTAAATCCCGTTTGTCTTTCTTCCCTTTCTCTTGGATCAATTGTTTTTATTTTTCACTTCGGTCCTATATTAGCTAGTTGATTTACAGTCTTTTGCCTTTTAGTAGTATATGTAATATTTATAACCAGCTTTTAATTATCCAAAATAACGTTTTTACTTGTTCTAATTCTCACACAGGACTGGGGGTGTGGCTCAATGGGTAGAGTCCTTGTCTAACATGCACCAAGCCCTGGTTCAGTCCCAGCACTGTATAAAGTGGGCTTTGTGTCTGTCACACACCTGTAATCCCAGCTCTTGGGAGGTGAGGGTAAGAGGGTTAGAAATTCAAGGTCATTGTCCAATACATAGTGAGTTCAAGACTGGCCTGGGATACCTGAGATGCTGTGCTGTCCCCCCCCCCAAAAAAAAAAAAATCCCTGACAGTGCTGGCACCTCTCAGTATTAAAATGTCCCCTTGTGGCCTCTTTTGTGTTATTCTGTTATGATTTTTTCCTGTATATTTTAATTCTACAAATCTTAAGGCAGTATAATCATTATATAATGTAATCAGTATTTATTGTCCAAAATTCGCTTTTTCTACTACTTATTCCCTCCATTTCTGTATTTCCACACGTTTGCTTTTTCATCCGTCAGGGACACTCATGTTTCCTTGGAACAGAGGCCTGCTGTGGACACTGTCTCTGGTGTCTTTGCAGGCTAATGTCTGTTTTGTGTTTACTCTTTAGAAATGTTTTCTCGCTGGGCGGTAGTGGCGCACGCCTTTAATCCCAGCACTTGGGAGGCAGAGGCAGGCGGATCTTTGTGAGTTCAAGGCCAGCCTGGGCTACCAAGTGAGTTCCAGGAAAGGCGCAAAGCTACACAGAGAAACCCTGTCTCGAAAAACCAAAAAAAAAAAAAAAAAGAAATGTTTTCTCTTTTGAGTTTGGCAGTGAGGTTCTTTTAACACTTGCGCTGTTAGTTCATTGTCTTCTGGATTCCATGGTGTGCATTTTTACCCGTTACGAGTCTGGTCACTTCCCAGACATCCTTTGGCCCTCTGTCACTCTTCTGTGGTGCCCCAGATGGACTTTAGCGTTGACCATGTCTGTTTAAAGGGTGTGTCTTCCGAGCTCATGATTTAAGCCTTACAATGCACCTGCTCACTTTTCTTTTCTAGATAATTTCTAAAGTTATATTTGTTTTGTGGTTCTCGATGGAAGATTATCTGGGGTGAGTGGGAGAGGGAAATGCTAAGGAGAGCTTGTTCCCCATAGGATCTCCATGAACCTACATCATCCGTGTTTACTATCCAGCCCTCAATATCTCATATTTCAAAGCTTTACATAGACTTCAGTTAGAAGGCAGAAAGTGGCCTGCAGTCTCAAGTTTGCCTGCAGAATATCACGATTACCCCTGAGCCCAAGTGAGAAGACTGTTGACTAGGTGTGGAATTGTCATGTACAGCAAGGGATTATTTGGTCAGATAATCCATGGGGCTATGTCTACTTTTCCACTGAAAATCCCATTTGTACGTGACTATTATGCTCCTTCCCCCAGATTCACAGATTCCGATTCCTAGAAATACCAGATGCTGTCTAGCAAGGGGACTTTGTTCCTAGGTTCCTCTGCTTACTTTAGTGTCACTGTGGTGTGTTCCTTATGTAGATGTCACAATGGTTGGAGACATTGCTTCTGTATATGCAGTTGAACATCCTTATTTCATTAGTATACTTGATCATTTCACGCAGCCTAGGGGGCAAGTTACCTTCTGATTTTCTGAATACTCAAATCAAGTCTTGAAAACATAAAAACATTAGTTTCAGTCTTGAGGTTTCTTCCCACTGAGTGTTGACCTCTAATTTCAGAGTTTTGTTGTGGCAACATTGGGGTTGTCATAAAGACCCTATCACCGGACAACATAGCCACACACACCCCTTATATCTTAGCATAGCATGGTCTGCATTAGAGATTTTGTTGTTGTTGGTTGGTCTTTGATCTTTCTTGGGAGGACCCGCCACCCAGCTCCCAAATAAATAATCACAAAGGGAGGCTTATTATTACTTATAAATGCCCGGCCTTAGCTTGGCCTAGTTTCTAGCCAGCTTTCCTTATCTTAAATTATCCCATCTGTCTTTTGCCTCTGGGCTTTTCCTTTTCTCGTACTTCTGTAAATCTTACTCTTACTCAGTGGCTTGCTGTGTAGCTGGGCAGCTGGTCCCTGGAGTCCTCCTCCTTCTCTGGCTCCTAGAGCTTAGATCTCTCCTTCCAGTTTTCTCCTTCTATATACACTCTCTGCCTGCCAGCCCCACCTATCCTTTCTCCTGCCTTGCTATTGGCCAGTTCTTTATTAGACCATCAGGTGTTTTACACAGGCACAGTAACCCAGCTTCACAGAGTTAAGCAAATGCAACATAAACACAAGTAACTCACCTTAAAATAATATTCCACAACAATTTAAGTCTTTTTTTGTATTTTTGTGTGCTTTCTTTGATTCATTAAATTTTTTTCATACTATCTATTTTGATCATTTTTTCCTCCTCCCTTTTAGATTCTCCCCACCCAAATTTATGATCTCTCTCTCTCTCTCTCTCTCTCTCTCTCTCTCTCTCTCTCTCTCCCTCCCTCCCTCCCTCCCTCCCTCTCTCTCTCTCTCTCTCTCTCTAGTTTTTGGAGACAGAATCCCCTCTCTCTTTAAAAAGATTTTTATTATTATGTATGTGTGTGTGTGTTTTCCTGTGTGTATGTCTGTGTACCACATGTGTGCTTGGAGCATGCAAAGGCCAGAAGAGGGCATTGGATGTCCTGGAGCTGGAGTAACAGACATACATTAGCCACTGTGTGGGTGCTAGGAATTGAATCTGGATCTTCAGGAAAAGCAACCAGTGCTCTTAACCACTAAACCATCTCTTACCCCCAAAATCTTTTTAAAAATTTGTTTATTTATTTTACATCCTGGCTGAAGCCTCCCCTCCCTCCTCTCCTCCCACACCCTTCCCCACTTTCCCTCCATCCCCCCTCAACCCACCCCTCTTCCCTCCCCCTATCTACCCTTCCTCCGTATTCACTCAGAAAGCGGCAGGCTTCCCATGGGCATCAGCAAAGCATGGCATATCAAGCTGCTGTTAGACCAAGCACCTCCCCCATTCAGGTTGGGCAGGGCGATCCAGCATGGGGAACAGGTTCCCAAGAGCCAGCCAAAGCACCAGGGACAGCCCTGCTCCCATTGCCAGGAGTCCCACAAATAGACCAAGCTACACGACTGTCACATATATGCAGAAGGGTCTAGGTCAGTCCCATGCAGGCTCCCTGGTTGTTGGTTCAGACTGTGAGTCCCCATGAGTCAGGCTACCCTTTTCTGTGGGTTTTCCTGCGATGTCCCTGACACCCTCCCTGGCTCCTACAATCCCCCCTCCCTCTCCTCATCAGGACTCCCCCAGCTTAACCCACTGTTTGGCCATGGGTTTCTGAATCTGCCTCCATCAGTCACTGGATGAAGGCTCTCTGATGACAACCAGGGTAGTCACCAATCCAATCACAGGCATCCCCCAAATCTTACTCTTTAACCCACATTAGCCTCAAACTTGTGGTGGTCCACCTGCCTCCACGTCTCAAATGTTGGGATTACAAGCATGAATCAAGCTTGGCCTATATTAGATATTTTTTGAGCTTTAAAAGTCAGATAAAATCTATTTAATCACAAACAAAATGAATACTGTTCTCAGAATTGCAACCCAGATGCAGGACCTTTGAAATCAAGCTCCCAAACACTCCTGCCTCGTGTGTAGCATTAGATAAGCTTCCGCCATACTCCTGTGCTCCCATCCCTGGCTCTTCCCCTTCACATTACCGCCTTAAGTCTCCAGCTGCAGTTCCTTTGTTAGCATTGTTAACAGGCTGTTCATTTCATTCCATCCAGCTGTTTCACCAGGGTAAAAGTGGCGTTTCTGTTTTCAATGTCTTTCAGGAGGGATTACAATGACCACGAGTAAGAAATTTCTCAGGGCAGATGTTCCTAAAAAAGATTCGGATCAGTGGATAATGAAGGAGAGAATCACCAGAGGGACTCACTGGGAATGTGCTCACCTGTTAGACTGGCAGTACCAGGAAGGTCGGGAGGTCAGGTTGCGGCAAGTGGTCCTCACCCAACAGTGCACTCCATCAACGCTTAGTGGGCAGAAAGTCGAGGCCTCTGAGAAGGTCTGTACAGGGAGCTCATTACCCATTCAAAGTCAGCGATCTCAAGCAAGCAAAAAAGATTTGGAATGCAGTGAGTGTGGAAAAGCCTTCTCTAAGAGTTCCACCCTTAAGAAACATCAGAAAATTCATACTGAAAAACTCAACACAAGTCAGAAAATGCCTATTAAAGACAAACGCTATGAATGTAGAGAATGTGGGAAAGCCTTTCACCAGAGTACACACCTAATCCATCACCAAAGAATTCACACTGGTGAGAAACCATATGAATGTAAGGACTGTGGCAAGGCCTTCTCCGTGAGCTCTTCACTTACCTACCACCAGAAAATCCATACTGGAGAAAAGCCTTTCGAATGCAACATCTGCGGAAAAGCCTTTATCCGGAACATACATCTTTCCCACCATCACAGAATACATACTGGAGAGAAACCGTTCCAGTGTAACATTTGTGACAAAGCTTTTGTGTGCAGAGCACATCTTACCAAACACCAGAACATTCACAGTGGGGAGAAACCCTATAAATGTAACGAATGTGGGAAAGCCTTCAATCAGAGTACAAGTTTTCTTCAGCACCAGAGAATACATACTGGAGAGAAACCCTTTGAATGCAGTGAATGTGGAAAAGCCTTCAGGGTGAACTCTTCCCTTACTGAACACCAGAGAATTCACACTGGGGAGAAACCATATCAATGTAGTGAATGTGGCAAAGCATTCAGGGACAATTCATCTTTTGCGAGACATCGGAAAATCCACACTGGAGAAAAACCTTACAGATGTGGCTTGTGTGAGAAAGCTTTCAGGGACCAGTCAGCCCTGGCACAGCATCAGAGAATTCACACTGGAGAAAAGCCTTACATGTGTAACATCTGTGAGAAAGCTTTCAGTGACCATTCAGCCCTGACCCAACATAAGAGAATTCATACAAGAGAAAAACCATACAAATGTAGAATCTGTGGGAAAGCCTTTATACGAAGCACACACCTCACTCAGCATCAGAGGATTCACACAGGAGAGAAACCTTATAAATGTAACAAATGTGGGAAAGCCTTCAACCAGACTGCAAACCTTATCCAGCACCAGAGGCATCATATTGGAGACAAATGATATGTATGAATGCCGCTCATATGGAAGTACTGTGGGACTGATGTCATTAATTATTGAATATAAGAGAAAACCTAAAGAATCACAATGGAGTCTTGTATTAGGATGGCTGTATTTGCTAGGAGCCAAGTTCCACGAGGCCGTGGGTTTTGAGACTGTTGAGGATACCAAACACACCTTTCTCTTAGTACTGCCTCAGTTGTACTGATGGTAGTACTTTTTTTAAATTGGCCTGAATCACCAAGTATTAGAACCAAAATGAAACGTCATTAAAAGTATAAATGTCAGTTGATCAAATTCACAATTTGTTAAGATAATTATAAAATTATAAAAATTAAGAGTGAGAAGCAAATGAACAACAAAGTTTGAAAATGGTGAATTTTATTCTAGATTTTCTTCTATAAGAAAGTTGCCATCTTTAACAGAACCCTTTGTCTCCCCTCACCCACATCCCGGATGCCTAGTTTAGAGAAGTTGCTGTCAGTCACCCATGCAGGAGTCAAGAATCCTTTAAATCATGCTTCTCATGGTTCTGCTTCTGTTTCAACCCTCTTTTGTCAAATCTCCTGGTTTACCTGCCCACTTGCTTCTTACATGTGTTCTCCTGGGAAGGTTCACTTGAGTCATGTGACTCTCTTCTGACTTAGCTCTAGCCATTATTACTGTATTCCTTGTTATCACCACCGAGGACCTCATTCATAATGCAAATCTGAATTGCAAAATCGGTAGTGTCCATGATACTCGATTTCGCACCCAAATGTAGCTTTCAGAACTCAAGGTCTCTTTCTGGAGGTAAAGAGTCATCAAAGGCATTGTATCACTCAGTTGTACAAGACCTCAGCTAACTACAATACTGGTAATACCTACATAAGGGCTTTTCCCTGGTAGCCATTACCCTCTAGCCATTCCAAACCATAATAAAGTTACACTGTCCACAGGAGTCAGGGGCTTGATCAATTTCAAGTGGGATAGTCCCTACCATCTAGTTGTGGTTGGTATTCCTGGCCACTTACACTTTTTTGACTTGTCATCTCTCCATATACAATTGACAAGAGACGAGGGCTCTAAGGTCAGTGTTCAGGTGCTCTGACCTGTGACTTCTTCCTGGTCAGACTTCTGTAGCTACTGAATTAGTGTATCCTTGTCCAGCTTTTGTCTGCGTTTCTGAAGGTATTAACTCTGTGTTCTATAAAAGCAAGATGCCTATAAGTTCTGCCCATATGTTTGAAAGTTCATTTCTTTTCCTCCATTGGGGCATCCCACCACTTAAAGACGCTATTGTTCTGATAGTGTTGAATAACATATCGAGCAATTCCATGGGTCCTGAGATGAACAGTAGCACCATTGACATTCTCTGGCCAGGGCCAAATCCAGGCCCAAAAGGCTGTGACAGGCTCATCCTACAGGCAGGACTTTCGTGATCATTAATCCCTCAATATTTTTGTTGTAGACATCCCAGTCACAACCATGCATCTTCCTTATGTAGGCCCTGGGGACACTCTCCCACACCAAAAGGAACAAAGGCCTGTACTACTGCAAGGTGGTATGTACTCCACAATGAAGATGGAGGAGCCAATAAACTCATTCCAGGAGGGAAGTTCCTGGTTCCTGGTTTGTGGAAGTGCCGTTTTTGAAGCTGGGCAGTCTTGTTCCCTAAAGCAATACAGTTAGAGAAGAGGAAATTCTATATCATGTCAGACTCTAGGTTGTTGCATAGACCTGGAAGCTTTGGGCACTTCAAAGCCAAGTTCAGCTTTCTGTGTGGGGCAGTCTTCTCATGTTCAGTGACTGAAAACATATGTCCTCCATTATGCGTGTAAAAGGGCATTTCAAGAAGTTACGTGGCACTACCAAGGGTGTGTATGCAGGCATCCATCTGCAGTCTCACGTGGCTGGACTTGCAGATTGTGTATTAACCTGCATCGCCGTGTTCCCTGGCACTGAGGTCTGCTTTCTGCACTATCCATATGCCCTGCTGGGTCCTTACTCACACAAACCCTCCCTTGCCTTTACCCTGAGTCTCTGAGAGTTTTGCAAGTTCCTTTTTGTTTTGTATTGGCTTGTTTTGAGACAAAGGTCTCTGTAAGCCAGGCCTGTCCAAAACTCTCTTAAGTCCAAGGTGGCCTCAAATTTATGGCTATCCTCCTGCCTTGGGCTCCCAAGTGTCCAGCTTGAGAGTCACATTTCTGAGTTTGCTGTTCATCTTTTTGTTAATAACGAAAGTGCCGCGTCCAGATGGCAAGCACTGCCCTTGTGTCAGGGTAACCGTCTCCCTTTTCTTAGTGACAGCCTAGGAGAGTGGCTGCAGTCTCCTGTTCTCAGAACTTACCTTCCTCAGGTGTAGCTTCTGAAATCATGCTCATTCACTCATCCCTTTCTGGGGAGCAGAAAGGCGGTAAATAGCCTGTTAAATATACCTGGGCCAACTTGAATGTCTTGTAGTGGTGCTTGGCTGGACGGTGGCTTTATGATGTCCTACCAGGTGGTTGACAGTGTGTTGTCCCACCTTGACTAGGAGAGCCATTGCCTGGGTACTCTTCTGTCCTTTTCTAATCTGAAGTAGCATGAACTATGGCTGATGGGACTACCTCAGCATCACCTTTGACCCCTAGAGTGCATTTCCAGGAGCCTTGAGATAAGTGTCTTCTCTAGCCAGGAGTGGTGGCGCACGCCTTTAATCCCAGTGCTCAGGAGGTAGAGGCAGGCAGATCTCCGAGTTTGAGGACATCCAGGTCTACATAGAGAGATACCCTGTCTCAGAAAAAAAAAGTTTCTCCCACGTGCTCTGTTCTGATCTGCCTGGTTTTTGACAAGACTTCGGGTTATTGAGAAGGGCTTTTCCCCACCCCCTGCTAGTCAGGTTAATTTCAAGGCAGTTGCTAGGAAGAGCAATTCCTTCCATCTCTAGATGTCACAGTCTTAATGACTGACCACTTATGTACCAAACCATGGCAGAAGGACCAGTGCTTGGGACCTTTCAGGATTACAGTTAGCAAGCTGTCCATGACACGTCTTCAGAAGCTCTCACCACACATCCCATTCACCCTCTGGGCTCCACGCAGTGTGCAGAGATGGCTCCCAACACTCGTGACACTGTCTTCTGGTGACCTGCCTGTGCCTGTGTGGAGGAAGTGCTGAGCTTGCTTGCAATGTCAGTCTCCTTGGTCTCCTCATCTGGACTCTGGGGAGCTGAAGAGCCATCTCCCTTCAGAGCTTTCCTTCATCCTGCTGAGCTGCCCAGGGGGAAGACACATCAGAAGTGCCAGTGTCATTCTGCTCAGGGGAGGCTTGAGGGGTGTTCCATCTAACGTGTCCTCGTGTTTGTGGACTCCCACACGCAGCCACTGGAACTACCTGCCCTTTCAAATTTCTCTGGTTTTCCTCTTTTCTCAACTCCCCTGGTTTTATTCTGGGTTCCTTTCCTGTTTACCTAAGATTGCCTGGCTCTGGCAATCTTAAGTTGCATGTCCCAACCTGTCACCTTCTTCTGTGTCCACTGACTGCTTTCCAAATGGCCTTCTGGCGGCTAGAGGTTAGCTCAGAAATTACAAGCACTTGCTGCTCTTCCAGAGGACTGGAATTGGGCTCCCAGCACCAACATCAGATGGCTCACAACTGCCTGTAACTCTAGCTCCAGGGAATCTGATGCCTCCAAGGAGACTGTGGTGTTGTTCACTGAGAAATGAATTATCCTGGCCAAGGTCACCCATCTAGGAAGTGGTAGACCGGACCTAATCTCAAGTTCTCTCTGTTTGCTCTTTATGTGTGGGGGTATTTTGCTTGCATGTTTATGTATGTATATTGCACTTGCCTGGTGCCTCTGGAAGCTAGGAGAGGGAGCTGGATCCCCTGGGTGAAGTTACTTCATTGCCAAATATACGAATGAAAACTATCAGCATTTCATTTCTGTCCATCTAACACTCAAAGCAGCCCCCACCTCTAAGTCCCAAGAGATGAAAACTATTTAGGGAAATTTTTACATTTAGAAATAAAAGCATTCAGAATAATAAAGAGTATTTCATTTTTGCTGTTGATTTTCTTTGTTTCTTGAAATGAGGGTCTCATATAGCCCAGGTTGGCCTTGAACCAACCATGTAGCTGAGGCTGGCTTTGAACTCCTGACTCTACTGTCTCCAGCATGTACCACCATGCTACACAGTTAAGGGTATTTCTGAAGATCGTTCATTCTTTAGATGATGGAAGAAATCTATATACAATTAAACGTTTTGTTACATTTTAGAGGAAACTGCAAACTGCAATAGAAAACTGAATTCAAACTTCTGGGGAATGTTATATTTGTTAACTAGAATTCACTCAGTAAAGTGAAAAGTAATATGTATAATGGAATATTGGGGGTAAGTTTCCAAAAAGTAAGCATGTCATACATGTGACAAAAACTTCACAACTAAGTCACAGCTTGGATACACTGAAGAATTCAGAAAGGAAAGACACCTCATGGAGGTATTCAATATGACAAGCTCCCAATAACAGAGGCTCTATCACTCTGTACAAAACTGGTCGTGATGTGGAGAAAACCAACAATGGAAAGCATGTGAGGAAGCCACAGGAGGCAGGTGGAACTCGCTGTGTATTAAGGAATTCCCACCAGAGGACGAGGATAACTGGACAGGAAGTGTGGGATTTGGCAGGAGGCCAGGATTCTAGTCGGTAACTTCAGCTGGTGAGGAATCCATGTAGTGCAGTCAGTAGAAAACATTAGAAATCATTCTAAGTCAGAGCCTCAGGAAAACCCCATGAATGCAAAAAGTAAAAAGATGGGGAAGTGTTCAACTAGAAGCCAAAACTCACTGCACATCAGAGAAACACAAAACAGGAAGTACAAGAAACCCTTTATTCAGACCTTGACTCACTGACTCTGGAAGAGATCAGTCACACTCTTTTCCTCAAGAGGACACATTTCACACTTCCGGGGACTCAGACAGAACAGGAGCCTTAGCAGGAGCCTCAAAAAGCATTCAGCAGTAAATGCAACGCCACGCTTTGAACTGTGGACAAACTGGGAACACGTGGAGTGGGCACGGAGATCTATACAGCAGAAACAGTCTGCAGAGAAGCCTTGGTGGTGGTCTCAGAATGCTCAAGTATTGCACCTCCAGGTCAAAACTCACTATACCTTGGAGCATCTGTCCACTGAAGTGCAGCTCGTTTTCAAAATTTAGTCCTGTACCTTAAACACTGGAGAATTCACAATAAGTTAAAACAGCTAACTCAATACATTTAAAAACAGGAAACAAACTTCCCTAACTAAATACCAGCTCTGTAAAAGAAAGATTAGTAGAAAATGAAAGTCCATGCAAGGTTCTCCAGTAGCTTCCTCCATGTGCCTCATACCCACCTTTTAGAGGGCACTCCAAGAACACGTGGGGAGAGCCTTTAGAGCCAACCTTATCATTTAAAATTAAGCCAGGCATAGCTACACATACCTTTGATCCCAGCACTTGGGAAGCAGAGGCAGGCAGATCTCTGTGAATTCAAGGCTAGCCTGGTCTACATAGTTTCAGGACAGCCAGGGCTACATAGTGAGACCTTGTCTCAAGAAAAAAACAATAATAATAATCCTCACCACAGAAACAAGACTGTTCCTGGAACCCCCTGAAGAAGTCCAGTTGTTCTTTATTCTCTCACACAACACTAATGTGTTGGCATTTTTTCAGGTTGGAGCAATTTACGGGAACATACACAGCAAAGAAACGCTGCCAAACTTTGTGGGTGACCCTGTGGAGAAGACCGAATGGGAAACCACCTCACAGAAGGCTGCCGCAGTTCCCTGTACCACCCCACTCTATGCTGCAGGCCCACCCTGGCTTCCAGGACTCTCACACAGGCTCTGCCCTCTGTGCTATGAAAATGATATCCACCTAAATACAGACACACACTCCCCCTCCCCAAGGTTTCCTTTTGTGGCGGTTGCAATCCCCTCAGCTCTAACCCTGGATTTCATGTTGTGGATCTCACATACTGACACCCTGGCCAGCCCCAAGGTTATGCTGTTGGATCAAGATAAATCTCACCCCAACCTGGCATGGCTTCACCATGGTCTTTGAGTGCCTGCCCAGAAGGCATCAGTTTAGTCTTAAGGTAGACACCTGGAAGCGAGTATTTCCTATTGTGGGTAGGAAGGGCGGAATGATGAGGTTGGCATGCCCAGGAAAGCAGAAGTCCCGCATGGCTCAGGGCCTAGCTCTTTTTGAAGGCGTGCCCAGCTGTGCTGGACATGGTCTTCACACATTGCCAGCCTGTGATGGTCACTGTAGATCTTCGCAGCTTCCACTGTGAAGCCAGGAGAAGCAAAGAAAGGACAGGGAGCAACCTGTGGCACCCACCCTCCACCTTGCTACTTGGCATCCTCTGTGTTCTCGCTCTTGGGCGGGGCTGCCACCGTGGAGGTTGTCTTGAGGCTGCGCTTCCGCTTCTGCACGTTCTGCTCCGGATGGAAGAGGATGACGTAGGTTTTGGGCACGTAGAGCATGCCAAGGGACACCGATGCACTCAGGCTCAGGGACACAGTCAGTGTGGTCGTTTGGATGTAGATCTAAGCATGGAGGAGGGAACAAGACTGGACTTAGCCCTGCTTTCCCTCAAGCCCGCCACCTATAGACGGGGAGGTGAGTTACATCAGTCAGGCGAGCGGGAACTGGAACTAAGGAAAGGTTAGGACGAGAAGGGCCAGGCACAGTGAGGATCAAGTGGAGGCACAAGACAGTCTGTGGAGTGACACAGACAGAGTGGGCTATTAAGAAGGAAGAGGAAGTCGGCCTGAGAGGTGGCTCAGCGGTGAGGGCATTTGCCATCAAGCCTGTAAACCCGAGTTGGAGAGAAGAGAACTGACTCCTGAAAGTTGTCCTACAATCTATACCATTTGTACTGTGGTACATGTGAATGCACTTGCACACAACACACACACACACACACACACACACACACACAGAGAGAGAGAGACAGAGACAGAGACAGAGAGAGACAGAGAAACAGAGACAGAGACAGACAAAGAGGGAAATCATACACGCTAAAAAAAATCCCTTTACAATTTAGCAGTTAAGGGCACTTGCTGCTCTTGTGGAGTATACAGGTTCAGGACAATACTAGTCAGCTAACAACCACCCATACCCCCCGTTCTAGGGGACCTATGCCCTTTTCTGGCCTCCAAGGGCTCCTACATGCATATGATATACATACAAACAAGCAGGCATATGCAAAATAAAAATAAATAATTTTCAAATTACAAAAAAAAAAAAAAAAAAACCTGAAGAGGGCACTTGGGAAAAGGCTCCCACTCCTAAAGAGCCAGAATTTATTAATGAGTAAAAGAATGAACAGGTTTTCAAATATCGAAATGAGAGAACAGACAAGGCTTTCAAAAAGGAGCGGATAACACACCACACGACAGCCCAGGTGAACAAACAAATGCTCTCTGGTCGTGAGCAAGTGACCAGAGAAAGAGTAAAGCAATTGGCCGTTAGATTAACGAGGTAAGCAGCATAAACTACAGGAAGAAAATAAGTGAAAAGAGGAAGCGTGGGAGAGAAGACATTAGGAAGAGTGATAGAAGGATGGATGAGTGGATGGAGGAAGAGTGAACGAACAGGCGCAGGACTATAAGAGAGAGAACAGCCCAGCCACAGTCATTCAAATGAGGCATCAGAATTGGTGGTCCAGCTCCTGGACCATCGAGCCTTTCAGTAGGGGGGAGGGATGGGCAGGAAAAGCCTTCTGGGGGACCCGGTTACCTTCTCGGCCGACTGGGCGGTGCCAAAGAAGATGGGAACAAAAGCCAGCCAGATAATACAGGTGGTGTACATGGTGAAGCCGATGGGCTTGGCCTCATTGAAGGTCTCAGGCACACCTCGGGCCTTGATGGCATACACCGTGCACGTGACCATGAGCAGGAGACTGTAGCCCAGGCAACCAATGAGGGACAGATCAGACATATCACACTTGAGCACACCCCTGGCCTGCTCCGGGTCCACCGTCCTCTGCTCCTCATAGTCAATCACGCTGTGTGGGGGCTGGGCCCCCAACCACGCTATCACTCCCACCACCTGCAGGAACCAACACAGTGTCAGGGACATATTGTCTTCTCGTGATGAGTCCATTACAGCCCCTCACCTAGGTCTCTAGCTGGTCAGATTCCCTGTGATGCCCTTGGCCTACGGAGTTGGATGCTCAGTCTCGAAAGGCTCACCGTGAAGAAGGATCACCCAGGGGTGTGTTCCTACCTGTGGAACATGGGATGGAGAGGACAGTTGTGCTCGAGGCACATGTGGACCACATCAGGGCTGGGCGGGCAAGCAGCAACCTGACCATTCCACAATACGCCATGCACCTGAGCACCTTTAAGGTTCTAGAACCTCCTCCTCAGTTTGTCCGCATGCAGACTGGAAACCCACATAATCTGTTATGAGGACATGATGCCTTCTTGGAGGAACAGCTCATGCAGGTGCCACCAATGAGACCCAGTCCCCAGAGGGATGTTCTGTCCTCGCACCCATATGCTACTCCATGGGTGTGATAGCATTAGCTTGGCCACAGCTAGCAACAAGGCAAGGCTGGTTTCCGGGGACACTCCCCCCCCCCAAAGCTAGAGAACTGGGAACAGAATGCCATGAGTGTATGGGTAAATGTGCAGTAAAGCAAGATGCGGCCACATCATAGGCCAGAGGCTAATGCCCAAGCCCCAACAGGGAGAAGATGGACTTTCAGCTGCTCCCTAGTGACCACAGACAGACCCTAAGCCAAAGGAAACTGAGGAATGGGAATCAAGATGTCTGCATAAAAGTGAGATCCTGGAGGGCACGCCCCATGTGTGTGTTCAGCGTGGGGCTGAAATCCAGCAAGCTATCCAGTGCCATGCCCTCTGAGAAAGGGGTCTCAACTGAGGAGTTGCCTCTGTCAGATTTGCCTGTCTGCACGTCGGTGGGGACGTTTTCTTGATTGCTGATGGATATAGGAGGGCCCAGGCCACTGTGGGGGGGATGCCATCCTTAGGCAAGTGGGCCTGGGTTCTATAACAAAGGTAACTTAATACGAGCCTGGGAGTCAGCCAATAAGGAGCATTCCTCCATGGTTCCTGCCTTGACGTCACTCAATGATGGACTATGACCTGGAAGAATTGGATGAAAAAAAAAAAAAAAAACCCTCTTTCCTCACCAAGTTACTTTTAATCATGGTGTTTCTCACAGTAACAGAAGAGAAACTAGGGACTTTCCTTGTAGTAATGTGTCTACTCAGAAGGGACACTCTTCTCCGGAGGCAGCAGCTCCAGGAATAGGGCCTAATGAAATAAAGCCACCCCATCCAGACGGGCAACCCTGGAAGCTTCTCCTAGAGTAAGCAAAATGTCACTCAAAAGAAACTAGAGCCTGAGGTTGATGGCACACAGGGTGACCAGCAACCACAACACACTCATACTGATGGCACAACCCACGTGACTGATACGGAATCAGCACCCTACAATGTAACAAGCTTCTATAAAGCAAGAGAAAATGAGCAATGGAGAGAAACTGACGAAGCAGAGGGGACTCCAAGGGCCCAGTTACTCCAGTTTGCATAGGCAAAGGGAAGGAGCAGTGAGGCTGGGTGTGATGGCCTTGCCCTTAATCCCAACACCTCAGCGGCAGAAGCAGGAGGAGCTCTATAGGTTCCAGGCCAGCCTGGTCTACAGAGTGAGTTCCAGGTCTGTAGGGCTGCATAGAGGAACCCTGTCTAAAAAAAAAAAAAAGGAAAAGAAAAAAGAAAGAAAGAAAAAATGAAGTCCCACAACATAACCACTATATCGGTAGAAACATCTAGAAAAGCCGAAGGTGTGGAGAATCCAAATTCATGAGGCAGGATAGATGAGTTTGAGGGGGCTGGGGGAACACTGAGTATCTTGTAAGCATCTCCATCCAAAGGGTGAGGGGAGTCTTGGGGCACTTCCTCAGGATGCTCAGGCACAGTATCTGGACAAAGATCTAGTGTCTTCCAAGCGTAGAGAATCCATTGCATAAACCAAGGCCGTGGGTAGAAGTGGACACAGGGGGGACAAACCCAGGAAGGAAGAAGGACTCGCCTGCCCCGAGAGCGTGCCTTGTCAACATGGGCCAGGCTGTGCCGGCACGCAGAGAGCATGGCTGGGTCTACACTGTCACACCAGCCCCCACAGCCCCTCCTCAGGCCATTTGCCTTAGTTCCCTCTCCATAGAAAACGTCCACTCTGCGGAGCTCTGTCCCACACTGTAGTAGTTGCAGCTAAGGAGAAACCCCTGGGAACTTTGAACCCCAATTTTTAATGTTCGTTGCATCATGAGATGCTGGCGGTAGCAGAATGAACGCCACACTCCACAGTGACTGCGGCCTCTGGGATACATTCTTGCCCCGTTTTCACGTGTGAGTCAAGCTGTGGGAGAGTTCACTTAACTTCAGGGGATAACAACATGGCTGAACAGTTGGACGCTCAGTTTCCTCTACGGATTTGGCAACGGAAGTGGTTGTTAAAACGTGAGCTGTGATCACCCCTGAAGAAAAACAGGGTGCTGTGTTCTGCTGGTTGTTTGGACAGAATCTCACTGTATGATCCGGGCTGGCCTCAATCTCACAGAGATCCTCCTGTTTCTGCCTCCCAAGTGCTGAGATTAAAGGCGTGGACCATCACATTTGGCCTATCCTTCAGATTTTTAAACACAGGACCCAAATGGAAAAAAAATTGACTCTATAAAGCTTCTTCTCCAAAGGCTTTTTTTTTTTTTTTTTTTTTTTTTTTTTGAAGACAGGGTCTCGCAGTATAGACCATCCTGGCTTAGAATTCTCTATGTATAGCATAGAGAGCTCTGTCTCCCAGAGTGCTTCATTTAAAGATGTGTGCTGCTGTACCTGGCCTGAAAATTGCTATGTGGATGAAGATGGCTTTGAACTCCTGATCTTCCTACTTCCACCTCCTGGGTACTGGGATAACAGGTGTGTGTCACCATGCTGGGTTTATGCTGTGCTGGGGAATCAAACCCAGGGCTTTTGCATGCTAAGAAAGCCCTCTCCCAACTGACCTGCTCCCTTAGTCTCTTATTCTCTGGGTGTTAAGGTGGAGGAATGTATGCACCCCCCATGCACTCACCATGCTACTGAGGAATCTGGGGACCCACCTGCAGGGAGGTGAGGCAGAAGGTGATGACTAGCTGCGATGTGGGGCTGATGAAGGGTGGTGGTGTAACAGAGCGCTTCCCCTGCTCAAAGATGCGGTAGATGCGGTTGGTCTTGGTGAGCAGGGCTGAGTAGCTGAGGGTCGTGCCCAAGCCAAGCAAGAGTCTTCGGGCAGCGCAGACAGCTGCACAAGGCTCGGCGACCATGAGGAAGGTGATGGCATAGATCAGGAAGATGCCAGTGAGCAGCACGTAGCTAAGCTCACGGCCAGAGGCTCGGACGATGGGAGTGTCGTTGTGGCGCATGAAAGTGGCTATAATGGTGGTGGTGGCCATGATGCCCAGGATGGCCAGGAGAAGGGGCAGAGCAGCCCATGGAGAAGACCAGGTCAGGCGCACCACAGGTGTGGGTCGGCAGCCAGTGTGGTTGGGTGTGGGCCTCATGTCCCCTGGACAGGCCTCGCACGTGAACTCATCCACCTGGAAGCGGTACCCATCGCAGGCTTCACAGTGCCAACAACAGGGGACGCCCTTCACCATCTTTTTCCGTTCGCCAGGCCCACAGGGGAGGCTGCACTGAGAAGGGGGCATCTCGTGGGGGTCGCCTGACCACTGCAGGGCTTCCATCTGGGGCAGAGAGAACACAGGCTGCTGACTCTTACCACCAGGATTCAGAGCCCTTCACCTCCACCCGGAGCTCAGTCCCTGCCACTTACATCCAGTCTAAGGTCCTCTGCCCACTGGCCCACAGCCTGGTACCCGCCACTGCTGGCACTGCCATTGGTTGCCTGGTACTGGAAGATGTCGTAGCGCCCGGGGGCATCTCCATTCTCATTGAACATCACCGGGGTTCCTGCGCTGCCTGCAGGGAGAGGCCGGTCATCTCCCGTTGCTTTTCCAGCCCCCCAAGGCCCCCTTTCTGGAAAGCCTCAAGGACCAACCAGGATACGGGAAGAGTTTGACAGGTTCCTGGCCAGATGTTCAGCATCACTCATTAGCAGTGAATGTGGTTTCAGACCAGGATATGCTGCCTCGTAGCCATGAGGAGGACATGGTACAAAGCATGCCTCTCAGAGCTGGAGATGGCTCAGTGGGTAAGAGCCCTTGCTGCTCAAGCCTGAGCGCCTGAGTTCAGATCTTAGCACCCGCTCCCAACGCTCAGGGGCAGAGGCAGGAGGATTGCTTGCTAGCCCCCAGCCTAGCTGCATTTTTAGTGAGAGACCCTGCCTCAAAGGAATAAGGTGGAGAGTGATGGAGCAGGACACTGGATGTTCCTCCACAGACAAGCACCCAAGCATATACACACATTTACATAACTCTCACAAAACCAAAGCAGCAGGCATCCCAAATACCTGGTGGAGAGTATGGAGAGCATACAATTTTATGCAGGATAGTAGTTGAATACAAGCACAACTCCTGCAAGCCACATGCATATGGGGAACCCCTTTGGGTCTGTTCAGGTTCATTCCTTAGAGCCTGGACTTTAGGCAGGTTCTGATGGTGCAGGGGACATGTCAGACCCATGCCTTTTGCCCCAGCAGCTCAGAGCCTGGCTAGGCTACATTTGGAAGCCTGTGACTCAGAGTGGGTTGTGCATCCACAACAGGGTTCTTCCTGGGGTCTACACTCGGCCCCAGGCCCACCACAGCTGTGTGGAGTGGACAGGGAGTTCTATGTGACTTGTGGGCTTAGTAGATGGGTTGAACAGCAGTTTCCCAACATCGGCTTTTGCAAATTGGCTCTGAAGGTGAAGCCCCCAGAGGGTTACAAAGCAGAGAGAGGCCTGCACTTGGGTCAAACCTCAGGGGATCAGTCCTGGTATCTTCTCTTCCATTCTGCCTCCTTTTCCACTCTGACTTGTCCCAGCTGCTGCAGATCAAGCCACGGAAACTGGCTTCCCCACCCTGTGGGGCCAGGCACTCACTCACCATTGAAGCGGACCGCTCGAATGTAGTTCAGCAGCGTACGGCCATCAGTAGGCTCCATGGCTGGGCACAGACCCGTGTGGCCTGGGCAGAGTGCCTGGTGCATGCTGTGAAGTGCGTGGGCGATGGCATACACCGCATCGATCACGAACTGCACCTTCCCCTCCTGCTCATAGGTGGAGTCTTGGCCGATGCGTTCCTCACCTGTCCTAGGAGGCCCAGAGGAAGTGTGCCTGGCCCCTGGACACCAAGACTGAACCCCCCATCCTCTCCCCTGTCATCCTCCCCACCCAGGGTAGTGCTCACCTGTGCATTTTCGGGTGGAATCGTCTGACTGGCCACCTGAGCTGGTTAGTTTGCAGTTAAAATTCTCTTCCCAGAACTCGGCAAACCAGATGTTTCGGCGGTTGTTCTCCAGGGAACGAGTCATGAAGTACTGGTCAAATCCTAAGAGGTGGGAGGGCGGAGACCCTCTGAGCCAGATGTGCCTCTCTCGTGTCCCTTTGCCCCTGGCCCACTTTCTTTCCAGGAGGGGCACTGTGACCAAGTTCTGTGTTCTGAAGGTAGAGATGCAGGGTGGGGGGCGGGGATTCCCAGAGCAAGCTGGCTAGCAAGATTAGCCATATTGGTGATCTCTGAGTTTGATTGAGAGACCCTGCCTCAATGAATAAGGTGGAAAAATAACTGAGGATGATTCCTGACATCAACCTTAGACCTCCACATGCACACGCATATATGTGTGTCCTTTTCCCACATGTACGCACATATGCGTGCATCATGTACACACACACACACACACACACACACACACACACACACACACATACATGAAAATGGGGGGGGGTGACGATACATGAGAGCTCCAATGTGAAATCTGCATCCTTAAAGAATTTATCACTGCCCTTTCTGTCCCCATTAGGGTGTTGCTATGGTTACATAATGGCCAGGACTTCACTATCCATCTTGTGAACTTGAGGCCAGAGGCACAAAAGAAAGCAAGCTTTAGAAAAGAAAGGGAAGCAGACTCCAAGGCTTTGAGAACACCATTGGCTCACTACTCCACACCTGATACCACCCACATCTAGACCTCTTCTGATGAAATGCCTTGATTGCTAAAACTCTGCTCGGCCCAGTCTTTCCACTTGATATTTCTTTAGCATTCTAGCTAAAAGAAAGGGTGTGAAGGTGAATACTCCACAAAAGCTGGAAGCCTGTGGGAGACGGAGCTCCTCCTCTACTGGGTCCCTGAAGCATGTCATCAAGGCTGTATTTTCAATTCAGTATTCAGAGAAATGGGCACACCTCTCACAAAGTGAACCCTCACGGGTGGGGAGGGAGCTGATGGGGAGGCAGACAAGCTAGGCCTCGCCTCAGCACTTTGATCAGCAGGATAGCACAGTCCACATCCTTGGTTTCTCTCCCTCCAACCTCCCCGTTCAAATCACCTTTGGTAAAACCCAAACTATATGCATGGAATCTTAAAACAACAGCAGAACACTGTTGAGGTGCTTTGCCCTACACACTGAGTGTTCTTTCCCTCATATGCCTCATTCAAACACTGATGCGTGTACACACACACACACACACACACACACACACACACACACACACACACACATATATATCCACAGATATAACCACAGAATCTCAGAGTCACAGCATCTGGGACTCCTAGAGAGTGGTACCTATTGTACAAACATAAATGTGTATCCCAAAGAGGAAACAATTGGGAGGATGAATAGGATAGGGGACTTACCATCGATGGAAGCCCTTTTGGGCAAGATGGTGATGGCCCCCACAGCCACCTCTTCTAAGTTCAAGATGGGGGAGATCTTGGATCCCCAGCTGTCTGAGCCAACCCAAAGGAAGTGGCCAGTCAGGTTGGCCTGGCGTGTTGCCTCCAAGACCCTCCTGGTAGGAACAGAGCTGGAGGTGAGTCACAACCTAGGATTCTTCTCCAATTTGGTCTTGGTCACCTCCCATCCAGTATTCCTCCATCCTATTTCACAATGAGCATCATATTCCTGTTTATCAGGACTCTGTGTGTGTGTGTGTATGTGTATGTGTGTGTGTTATAGTGTATTGTATATACATGTGAACATGTGTGTGGTGACCAGAGATCAACTTTAGGTATCATTTCTCATGTCTAATACACCTTATTTATTTATTCATTTATTTATTTATTCATTCTTTATTTATTTATTTATTTATTTATTTATTTATTTATTTATTTATTTATTTATTTATGTATTTGAGACAAGATCTCTTTAGTGGCCTAGAGCTTGCTGATTTGGGTAGGCTGGCTGGCCAAGGAGCCCCAGGGGATCCTTCTACCTCCGCCTCCCCAGCCTGGGATTACAAGCAGCATGCTGCTGTGGATTAAGCTCGGGTCTTCATGCTTGTGTGGCAGGCACTTGACTGGCTGAGCCATCCTCCTGGCCCTCTGTCCACTCCAACCCACTCTACACTGGCCGTCAGATGATGCTGTGGTTTAGTTTTGGCTTGAGTGTTTCTATCTGGAGGAAGCTTGGACCTCGGTGTAAATGCTGGGAGGTGACGTGAGCTTTAAGAAGTGGGGCCTATAAACCAGCCCTGACGCTAAATGCCTTTAATCCCAGCACTCAGGAGGCCAGCTTGTCTGAACACAGCAAGTACAGGGATTCATAGTGAGGCCCTGTGTGAACTAAAGGGGGTGCCTAGTGCAAGGTTATTGGGTCACTGAGGACAATGCTCCTGTCCTCTGGAAGGGTGAGGCGGTTCTGTGAAAGTGAGCAGTTATAAAATAGGGATCGCAGCCCCTCTTCTTTCTGAATTCTGTCTCTTCATGCACTTTCTCCTTCTACTCCCTCCTCCCATGATGACACTTGTCAAAATGTGATGCAAGCTGGGCCCTCAGCAGAGCTGGGTTCTGCTGCCTCCAAAACTGTTTGTTAAAAATATGTCTTTCCCTAGTAAATTACCCAGACTTGGATATTTTGTTATAGTAAAGCACAATGGATGGATGCAGAGAACTCCTTTGGGGAAACTCAGAAGTCAGTCCATTCACAAATGCCTCTGCCATCGTCAGGCCCAACTTCCTGGGCTGGAAAAGAACTTTAGCTGGCCGTGGACAATGTAGGTTTTAGGGTTTACTGGGAGTGTGTCCCTCGTGGTACATTTTCTGCTCTTGGGTCTGCCCACCAGTTCCCTCTGCCACAGTGAACAATAAAAATAGCGAGCGTTTTCCTGTTTCCCAGGTCAGGCCTGTGGCATCTCCAGCCAGTTAGGCCCGGCTCATACCCTGAACACAAGACTTCAGATGGCAATGGGAAGAGCTTGGGGAGAGGAAGGGAGTTGCTCCTGGCTGGGAAAGGGGAAGGATAAGATCTCATGAGAAGAGGCCCCAAAGAGCATGGTGACTGAGTGTGCCAACAGTCCCACCTGATGTCATCCTCGTTGGCAAAGATGATGATGCCCCGAGCGTTAGGCGTTTCCATGAGCCTCCGGATCACTTTGTGGAATTCTCCCGGCTTTGGCTCCCTGGGGATCTTTATTGATTGAGCAATACAGACACCTCCTGGATGTCAGGGATACCAAAGTCAACTCTACTCTCACCTTGCACATACCCTTGCACATACCCACCTGGCTGACACTTCTGTGACTGTGTGCAGAGCTTAGTTGAGGAGTTTGGAGGGTAGGGATCTTGCCTGGACCCTACCTAGCAGACCATAAACATGACCTGGATCCCTTAAAGCAGTGGTTCTCAACACGCATGTCACGATCCCTCTAGGGGGTTGAACAATCCTTTCACAGGGGGCGCCTAAGGCCATCAGAAAACACAGATGTTTACATTACGATTCATAATAGTAGCAAAATTACAGTTATGAAGTAGAAATACAAATAGTTTTATGGTTGGGGGGGGGTCACCACAACATGAAGGACTAAATTAAAGCAGCATTAGAAAGGTTGAGAACCACTGCCTTAAAGGGACCTCACCCCTCTGGAGCACCATTCTGGCTGGCCACAGGGACCACGCCAGCCCCACCCCACCCCAGCCTGTATCCCATTCACTTGTTCCGGGCTCCTCTCTGCGTTAGCTGCCTATCGCCTGGGACCTCCATCCCAGCTCCCCACTCACCAGCCTCCCGAGAGATCTGCACAAAGGCCTCGACCCCACTCTCGCCGTAGTTGCCTTCCGAGGCCAGTGTAGACACGTAGTTCCACCCCAACGCCCGCACAATGTCTACCATGGCCTGAGCCTGGTAGGAGTCAGGGGGCACCACTCGGGAGAAGAAGTCATAGCGTGTGGAGTCACTGAGCTCGGGGGCTGTGGAGGCATAGCTGATCTGGGGTATCTGAAGCAGGAAGGACACACAGTGAGGCTGTGGCTGGAGGCTCCATAGACCAGGGTGGCAGTCGGGGACTCAGGACATAGGTCACAGACAAGTTGGGAATAGCCCTGGGGGACAGTAGGGACCTGGGACTCAGATGAGGCCTGGAAGGTTGGAGCGGGGGTGGGGGGGTGGGGGGGTGGGGGGGTGGGGGGTGCTGGAGGGGTCACACACACAGGCTAGAAGTGTAGGGCTAGTGGGTTATCTTTGAATGGATCTGATGACTGGGAGGTAAGAAGGGCTTAGAGCAGGGTCACCAGTGACAGCTGCACAGGCCACGAGCCAAACAAGGATACTGGAGCTTAGGGAAATGTGCCCTGGTCTAGGGGAAAGGGTCTTCTGCTGGCCTTGTTCCCCAGAGGGAGAGGACCCTGCTAGGATCAGAGCAAACCAGAGCTGGAGAGGAGGGGCATGTCAGGCTGGACATTCTAGCGGGAAGGCTTGTTTGAAACTCGGTTTCATCTACGACCATTAGAGAGATTAGGAGCAGGGATCATGGGGCCGAACCATGTTACTGGAAAGTGGGACCTGGGGTGTGGAATGATGGAGCACAGAACTGGGGAAACAGGGGAAAGGCTGAGAGGCTTGGGAGGGAAGCAGATGTGACCCCGAAGGAGATAAAGAGGGACCAGCAGGCTGCCCAAGGTCTGGCAGGGAGGAGTCTCAGGAGGAGGGCCTGGGGCTGTTCCAGGGCTGTTTGAAGGGGAATGGGAAAGAGAGAAGGGAAGAAGGAGGAAGGCGGGAGGAAGAGAAGAAGCAGGAGTGAGGCTTAACTGGAGGGGGTCAGGGAGAGAAAACACAAGAAAGCAAAAACCAGAGAAAAGAGAACAATGAAAGACCTACTTGCAGTGGAATCGATGCCCTCTTCAGGAGCAGTAGACCCCACCCACGGTCCCCAGGAGGACTACTATAGAAAGCCCCCGAACTCTAATGCCAGAGCAACCCCCTCCCAGCCCCTGGGTCCTATGGCCCCCAATCGCTCGCTGCACTTCAGACTGCAAAGAACACAGTGCCCCCTATCGACGAAGAAGATGCAGAGTCTTGCTGATAAGCAGTATATAGCAAAACAAGGGAGCTCAGATAGTCTTTAACAGCACCAGAAGGGATTAAAGGCGGGCATTCTGAAACGGAATTTAAATGGTGATCAAAAGATTAAAAAAAAAAAAAAAAAAGAGCAGTGGCACTTTACCCCTCAAGATTCTGTACCCACTACGGTAGCTCAGGGCCACTTCCAAGGGCTCCTGAAAAAGAGGCCAGTTCTCATGAAATCTCAATTTCTTTATCATCCAGGAGTGCTCGGGGGGGTGGGAGCACCTTGCAGGGTTATACAGGGTATCAGCAGAACATGAATGAGTGGGCAATTGGGGACTGAGGTCTAATCTGCCCTTACTTAGCCAAATCTGCCCTTAGTCTGGTTCGAGTCACAGACTGCTGGGGAAAGGGACACCCTTCACGAAAGATGTCAGCTTAGGCCAGCCAGGCGGCAGAGCAGACAGACGAGCCAAGCTGGGAAAATTGATCTGCCCGCGTGGGCAGCAGCTTTTTAATCTGGATGAGCTGGAGCGCTCCAAACAGACTCTTCCAGAAGGAAGTAAAGGCATCAGCCACCTGGGTGGGTGCATGGGTGGCAGACGCGAACCCTCACCGCAAACAGGCGCAGGACGTTGGCGACCATGATGGACACGGAGCTAGCCGAGGCGCCTACCACGGCCACCACGCGCTCTGGGGGCGCGGTGCGCAGCGGGGGGACGCCTCCGGGGCAGCGAACGCTGGCCTCGTCGCCGTCGCCGCGCCCTCGGATGAGCGCCTGCACGAAGCTCAGCGCCTGCTCCAGCGCGTAGGTGTCCCGCGAACAGGTGTCGAGCAGCCGCGCGCCCAGCCGCACGCCGGGCAGCAGCTCCGGGTCGGCATTGACGCGGTCCAGCGCGTAGAGCATCGCCTCCAGCCGGTGCACGCCCTGCTCCTTCTTCAGCGCCCCGCACGCACGCCCCGCCGCTCCCCGCGCGTGCACCGGGAACAGGCCGCCCAGCGTCAGGCCGCCCGCCAGGCGCACCGAGCCCGCACCGCGTGCCACGCCCGCCTGCGACAGCCACCAGGCCAGCGACAGCATCAGCACCCGAAGCCGCGCCATCTGCTCACGGGCTGCGGGAACGGAAGACACCGGGACGTTCTGAGCGCCAGCGGACTCCGCTGCCACCCTGTACTCAGATGCCACCTCGGGAAACTGGCCAGACACCGGGCGCGCAGGAAAAGTTGGTGACTCGCGCTCAGACAACTATGCCGGCTCTCCCAGGCCTCCAAAGAGCTGCTTCAGCCTCCCTGAAATTGTCCCCCAGCCCCCCCCCCAAAGGTCTTTATGGCAGATCCCGCCCCGTCCCCTCACCCCACAGTTCCGGGCACCTCTTCTTCTGGACCCACCCCAGGGTACTCTAGGCTCCCTCCCAAGCGGTGCTCACCTCTGGCCAGTAGGACGAATCTTCGACTGCTGTAAAACCAGGGCTCTAGCCTAGAGGATTTAAGGATTCCGGGGAGGGATGAGGGTGAGGGCAGAGATCCCCTCCAGAGCTTGCGAGTGGAGGAAGGGCTCTCTTTCCCTCTCCCTGTCTCTGGCTCCCTGGGTCTGTTTCTCCCCTAGACTGTCTTTCGATTGTGCCTGACCCAGATTGGTTATCTGGGTTTCAAGGGTACAAGCCTGGATCCTAGCAACACCAAAAAGCTTGGCCACTCCATCCTCAATATGCCAATTAAAGAGACAAATAATAGTAAAAACCGGAGAGAAGAGATTTACATGATGTGTCTGGCCACAGAGAGAAGAGGAACAAAGGGGTCCAGTGACCCCACCCCCCAAGTTGATCTTCAGAGACTTAGGTTTAAAAAGAAAGTGACACGCACAGCTAAGTGGTTCTGGTCATTTGGGGTCCAGTCTCTCTTGCAAGGTGGTCTGACAAGTCGTGAAACTGGAATCTCTTCCCGCGAAGCACGCTCCCTCTCAGGCTGCACCAGGCTTCCGTCTTCGGCTTCTCCCAGCGTGAGACTCCTGGGGAATTCTTCAGGGTCTGATAGCAGAAGGAAGAGCACACAGGTGTCTCCAGAACACCCTCTACCCTTTCTGTCCTTCTCCTTCTCTGTTCTGACCACTAGAATTTTTTCCCTTTTAAACTAATATTTTATACGTATTTTTTTGTGTGTGAGCATGCGCATGCGCACATGCATACAGGGGTTGGTTTTCTTTCCACTCTGTGGGTCCTGGAGATTGTACCCAGGTTGTGAGGCTTGGCAGAAAACATTTTAACCAGCTGAGCCATCTCACCAGCGCCCAGTAGTCCTTTTGAATGCACTTGCCTAAGAGCCTCCCCAGCTTTCTCTCGGCAACCCTTGGGACAAACCTGTAAGTGATAGATGACAGGAGCAGAGGCTGAGAGTGCCAGCCCAGTGAATCTGAAGGACAGGTGCAAGGCTTGGTAACGGGGTGGGGGTGGGGGAATGCTGAGCTTCAACATCACCAAACATACGGAAGCTCTGCAGAGAGACTCTCCCATCCTGCAGACTGGGAAACAGACACCCCAGGGAGTGATTGACAGGCCGAGGCCATGCAGCTGGCTTATGTCAGCAACTAGATTTGCATTCAGAGTGGTGTGAAACCACCAGCCCACCCACTGGTGTTGGAGGGAGGAAGGGCAGGGCTGGTTGGCCCTGCGGCTCCCATCTGGGTCAGGAGTCCTGAGCTGTTGTCCCCCAGGTCATTTCTAAAAGCTTCCCAGCTCTCTGGAGCCGGAGCTCTTGTATCCCACTGTTCCATCTCATGGTTGGACCATAGTGAAGGGGCTTGGCTCAAAGACGCTTTCCCGTCATTGCCAACAGAGGACAGGACTGAGCTCTCTGAAGCTGGACAGCAAAGGCATCTTGGAGACAGATGCTGAGGCCCAGCCTCCCGGGATTAGTGCACTTGTCAAAGTGGGGCTGGAGCCAGGACTAATTGCACTCCATTAGTCAGGGTGGATTAGGGTGGCAGCAGAGGTCTGGGCATGGCTGGTGGAGAGGGCAAGCAGCAGAAAGATGCCACCATTCTGTGAATTCTCTTACCACGCCAAGTGGTTCACTCTCTCTTGGGGTGGAAGCCAGCTTAGCGGGGGTAGGCCAGAGTGGGTGACACCTCAAAAGACTGTCCAAGCAGAGTATTTGTGTGTGTGTGTGTGTGTGTGTGTGCATGTGTGTGTACATGTACATTCGTACTTGTATGTGTTCGAGCACATGTGCACCAACTACTCCACACATTTAACAGCCAGGTGGTCTTTCTTATAGAAGTGACCTAAGACCATACATTTGAGGGTGCAATGAATGCGAGGTGTTAAAGCTTCTGATCTCTGGAGTAGGAGTGCTGTGAATTGCTCACCTTCTTGCTTTCAGAGAACACGTAGGCAGGAGAGTCAGTGCATCCATCCATCCATCACTGTCTTCAGCACAAGAATGCTGAAAAGCATGGTATCTGCATCTGTGCAACTGATCAAGGGTGTATGAAGCACAATCCTAATTAGTGTTATCAATAAAAACCAAGAGCCAAATATCGGGGTAATAACCTGAAAGATCAGAGAAGCAGAGCAGTAGCCACTAGAGACTCCTTACCTCTACGAATCCTCAGGCAGAAAGGGGGCGAGATCTTGTCTCCACCTGCCTTATATTCCTGTTGCCACCTCCCAATTGTGCTGGGATTAAAGGCATGAGCCTCCCAAGTGCTAGGACCAAAGGTGTGTGCCACCACTGCCTTACAAGATGGCACAGACTGGGGGCCAAATGGCAGAAATCTGTTTTCTTACAGTCCTGGAGGCTATGAGCCTGAAACTAGGGTGGCACTAGGGCCAGGTCCTGTGAGAGCTGCCCCAGGCTTGTAGATGATGGCCTTCTTGTGGCCCGTTGTGGTGCACATGTGCAGACATCTCTCACTTCCTCTTCTCACAGGCCAAGAACTCCATCAGATCGGGGCTGAGATACTGAGTCTTGGTGGTCAGCTTGAGCTGCTGGACAGATCCTTAGAAGATCCCTGAAGCACACAGCTGGTGTGCCTATGAGAGCGCTTCCAGAAGGACAGCCCTGTGCAACGGTAGCTCAGTCCAAAGACACAGCCTTGAATGTGGGCAGAACCAACAGAGAGAAAGCCAGCAGGCAAGCACAAGCTTCACTTTTCTCAGCAAGTGTGTCTATGGCCACTGCAGCCATGGGCACTGGGTCCCGGCACTTGTCACCTTCAGTTTTCCCAGGGTCACTTTCCTGTGTGCATGAAGCCAAAGTTCACTTTCTCCATTTGCTTTTTCCCAATGGCCAATGGTGTTGGGCATCTTTGATGTGCATTTGCCTATTTGTATAGCTCCTTTAAAGAGATGGCTATTCAAATCTGTTGGCCCTTTTTAAAGCGTGGGTATCTGTCTTCTGGTTGAGCTGTAAGTCTTGGACTTGTTGGACATATGACTTGCAAAGGTTTTTATTCCAGTCTGTGGCTTGTCTGTTTACTTTCTTCAAAATGCACAAAATTTTAATTTTGTTGAGATCCGATTTACATTTTCTTTTATTGTTTGTATTTTGGTATCACATCTAAAATCTCACAAGAAATTCCAAGGTCATGAAGATTTATACCTGTCCTGGCTAGTTTTTTTTTTTTCTTTGTTTTTGTTCTTGTTTTTGTTTTCTTCTTCTTCTTCTTCTTCTTCTTCTTCTTCTTCTTCTTCTTCTTCTTCTTCTTCTTCTTCTTCTTCTCCTTCTTCTCCTTCTCCTTCTTCTTCTTCTTATCAACTTGACACAAGTTCCTAGTCCTCTGGGAAAAAGGAAACTCAATTAAGAAAATGTCCCCACCAGATTGGCCTGTGGGGCATTTTCTTGATTAATGTTTGATATGGGAGGGCCCAGTCCACTATGGGAGGTATCACCCCCAGGCGGGTGGTCCTGGGGTCTACAAGAAAGCAGTTTGAGCTACTACAAGGATCCAGGCAGGAAGTCAGTTCCTCCATGGCCTCTGTATTAGTTTCTGCTTGAAGTTCCTGCTCTGATGTCTCTCGTTGATGGAGTGTGATCTGAGAGTTAGAAGCGGAAGTCAGTCCTTTCCTCCTCTAGTTGTTTTTGGTCACAGTGTTTGATCACAGCAATAGAAACCCTAACAAGATACCACCTATGTTTTAGTTTTTAGTGCTTTATAATTTTAGCTCTAACGTTTAGATCTTTGATCCATGTTGAGAGAATTCTTGAGTATAATATGAAGTTGGTCCAACTTCAACCATGTGCGTGTGGCTATCCAGTTGCATACACAGGAAGCATCCATGGTGGATAACTTGTAGGCCAAAACCTGAATGAAGAGTACAGTAAAACAATGCTCACGTCTGGCAGGTAGAAAGAACAGCAGCTGGAGAACAGGTGAAAACAAATGTCACAATAACAACAACAACAACAACAATATCAAGAAATAAGAACAGGTGTTCTTGCTGAAAATTCATGTGTGAAACTCCCCAAGAAACACACCTTCAAATATGAGGGGGATAAAACTAAAACAAACCACTAAGCCACAAGCAGATCTGGAAGCAGGACATTAATGCAAAACAAGATCTTGATTAAAAAAAATAATAATCTAGCAGGCTGGAGCTCTAGCTCAGTGATAGAGTGCCTGCCTAACATGCACAAGGCCTTGGGTTCCTCAGCACAGCAGGAAAAAAAATGAAAAGGGCCACAGCATTTTTCAGAGAACAGGGCAGACACAGTGAGCTGAGGCGAGAGGAAGCAAAGGGACACCAAGCACAGCTCTCCTTTCTCGGGTTGTACTGATGTCTGTCTGTGCCAGCTCACCTGTGGAGGTCCTCTTGTTGTGGAATATTATTTTAAGATGTGTTACATTTGTTTAGGCTGTAGAACATTTGCTTTAATGGTGCAAAGGTGTGTTGCACTCATCTGTGTTGCATTTGTTTAACTCTGTGAAGCAGTGTTACTTTGACTGTCTGAAACCTGATTGGTCTAATAAAGAGCTGAATGGCCAATAGCAAGGCAGGAGAAAGGATAGGCGGGGCTGGCAGGCAGAGAGAATAAAAGAGGAGTTGAAATCTGGGGAAGCAAAAGAGATCAAGGAGTGGGAAGAAGGAGCTAGCCATCTAGCCACCCGGTCACCCAGTCACCCAGCGAGTAAGAGTAAAAGATTACAGAAGTGAGAAAAGGAAAAGGCCCCAAGGCAAAAGATAGATGGGATAATTTAAGAAAAGCTGGCTAGAAATAAGCCAAACTAAGGCCAGGCGTTTATAAGTAATAAGCCTCCATGTGTGATTTATTTGGGAGCTGGGTGGCCTCCAAAGAGTAAAAACAACCAACAACACCCTCTCACGCAGAGTAGAAAATATTCCTGTGAAGCCTTCTACGGAACACCAAACTAACCCATAATACTCAACCGTGTTACAAAGGAATTTCTCTGTTCACAAAATATCACACATTGGAGATGACAACACACATCATGAAATTAATACATAGGTAGAATAAAAAAAATTAAAAAACATTCAGGTCAAACTAAGAAGCAGAGAGACAGAAAGACCAGCCCAACATTTACAAATTGACAGAGACAAACCTGTCACAGCCAGTCTTGTTTGTCCCAGAGATGTGCTTAATGGATTAACGATTTAGGAAATGTATTTCTGTAATTCACTACATTAACAGATTAAAGGCAAAAACATGATTATCTAAATGGATGCAGAAAAAGCATTTGGTCCTATCTACTGTTCAT